TGGTGTTTTCAGCTTCGTGCTTTGAGCAGCAAGCTGAAAACACCAGCCTGAAGATGACGAATGGGACTTGTCGAAACGTCGCCAAGACACTTCCAATTTTACGCGGGAGAAAACCCGAACAACCAAAGACCTACATACAAATACCCGCGAAAACCTCAGAAAACACATATATATCTATATATCTGCGATATATAGATATATATATATCTGCGATATATATATATATATATATATATATATATATATATATATATCTGCCCCCTCCAAGAAAAGCAAGGAAAAAGCAGTTAGTAATACGGAGGCTACGACCAAAACGCGGATTGGTAGGCTAGGATCCGTGACGAGATCTAAGAGTCGGGCACAAACGGCGTCTCACCTATAAATGAACTCTCCCATCGATTAGAATGTACCCTGACGATGTTGGCAGCCGCCAATGAAAGCTTGGTGTTTTATCAAATTAAAACCTTTATAGTTTTGTAATTTTCCTGGTGCTCATGTTTTTAGCTATTTGATATCTATATCTATATCTATCTATCTATCTATCTATCTATCTATCTATCTATCTATCTATCTATCTATCTATCTATCTATCTATATATCAAAGCATGACTTTCCTTTTCTTTTCCTTTCTTTTTTTGTACCCTTAACTATGTGGTTTATCTTTTTCCCCCTCTGAAAAGCAGCATAAAAGTTATGGCTGATTTTCTTGTGCTGCCTCAGCCATTAAGTATTGACCGGGAAACAGTGACATCTAGTGGTTGTCAAGGATCATGAACATCTATTAACTAAACATCTGTATGCTCTCTCAGATATAAGCAAGCATGCTAATGACTGCATTATCATTTAAACAAAATACAAAACAATCTGGGCAATGTTAGATGCAATTATTTCCCATAATTAGATCTGTTGCTGTTTCAGATGAGACAAGCTGAAGCATAATTGGAATGATTCAAATGCAGCAATCAGGAATGCTGTCCTATGGTTAACTAGTTTTTTCCGAGGGGAGGGGACACGGTTTGGAGAATCTTAAGTACTTGTTTGGAAAACTGCAGTTCCAGTGCAAAAAAAAAAAGAGCATAAAATGTGACATTAGGATGGAAAAATACAAAAAGAAATAAGGAATGCTTCTGCTTAATGTACTTCCAGAGCATAAAAATTTCAACGTGGAGTTTGGTATCTCATAGCCCTGTAGAGCAGTGTTTCTCAGCCTCAGCAAGTTTAAGATGGTGGACTTCAACTCCCAGAATTCTTCAGCCAGCAAGCTTCCTGTTTTCTATGGATCCTGTTTAAAAAGCAATAAAGAAAATGATTGGATTTGGTGCTGGAGAAGACTCCCCTGGACTGCAACGCGATCAAACCAGTCAGTCCTAGAGGAGATCAACCTTGACTGCTCTTTTGAAGGCCAGATCCTGAAGTTGAAACTCAAATACTTTGGCCACCTAATGAGAAGGAAGGACTCACTGGAGAAGATCCTAATGCTGGGAAAGATTGAGGGCAATAGAAGAAGGGGACGACAGAGAATGAGGTGGCTGGATGGAGTCACTGAAGTAGGCGTGAGCTTAAATGGACTCCAGAAGATGGTAGAGGACAGGAAGGCCTGGAGGAACATTGTCCATGGGGTTGTGATGGATCTGACATGACTTCACAACTAACAACAACAAATCCACAAGAAACATAGTCCCACTCCCCAATGGATTGATTCCTGTGTAAAGAAGAGGAACACAATCCAGTACATATTGCCAACCAGAATAATCTATAGACCAGCAAGAAGAGCTACATCTTGGTTAATTAGGTTAGGTCTTGTATAGGGAACCACCCTGAAATTATTCTAGGGCTTCAGATTTTATTGGGCATTTCAAAAAGCAACCCAGAACATAGCAAAGGTTTTCTTTCTGTTACAATTAAAACACCTGGTTCCCAGAACTGATAATTCAAGGAAGATTTTACATCTGTCTGTCTGTCTGATTTATTGCACAATTCAACATGGCACACAGTGCATTACATTCCCTCTGTTTTCCCCAAGGTAACAAATACAAATGCAGCAGGAACATTGGCCACTATACTATTTCCAAGAAACAGGTAGCTGATGTCTTCAGATGTCACGCTCAATATGCCAAATTCTGTGGGGATGGCCCCTATCTTCGCAGGAAAAATCCTCTAAATTGTTGCACGATGGAGCTAATTTATTCCACTGGAGATTCTACTTTTGGTGGCAGATTTATTGTAAATGGCAGATGTACCAAGGAAATGGAATAGGAAAGGACTTGCCAGTTGCTGAATGTTAAGTATTGAATAGCTCTGGGAATTTGCAAAATATAATCAGGGCAAAGAGTTGAGAAACTCATCAGAAACCAGTGTAGAAATCTTCCATCTAATCTCAGAGAGCCCTCATCCCACTTCAACCCCTTAGAAAGTGACATGATCATCCAATATTTTTCTGTTCAGTTTCAGTGGCCTTAATAAGGCCAAGATGCAAAACAATTACTTAAAGATGGAAGGCAAAGATGAAGTTCAGGGGAAAGAACATGCAGATGATCAGTGTAAAAACACTAAAAAGAACAATAGAAATTTCGATTACAATTAGTATATCTTTGCTATTTAAATGGGCAAACAGTAAAATGTGCCAAATGTTGACAGTTTGACAAAGATATATCTAGTCTTGCCAAGGCAGTGCAGGCAAATGTCACTTATATAGTTATTAAAAATTGCCCTTAGGCTAACATTGTATGTCTTTTTGACAAGATGAATGGTTCGTTTTTGACAATGAATAATTTTCATTTAAAGAAAGATTTTTTTAAAAAAAAGACATCTTCAATTAAAGAATGCATGCATAAATGAGACTCAATACTATTAATTGTGCCAGTTATTCACACATTCAGGCACCTGGGTTACCTTTTCACAGCCTTCCCATTGATCATTTTCAAAGCGGTATTTTCTGCTGTATTTTACTGCATTTACTGAATAATGTTGCAGATCTTGTGATTAATATTGTCATAATAAATACATTATTTTAGTTGATACCTCTCAAGAATTCTGTTACTCTTTATTGTTGCTCATACTTGCATCTTGGTCCTTCTTTAAAATCAGACTTGGCATCCATAATTAACCTCATTAACATTTTTTAGTGGACTCAGCACATTAACCAATTAATTCATTGTTGACCAAGAACTACCGAGGGATTTCTATCTGTGAAATCAGCTAAAGTTGATTTTAATTCCAAAAATTAAACCCCTGCCTCTCTAGATAAGCTCTACCACCTAGCTGGCATTGCCCCACCTCTGTTCTGTTTGCAGAGAAATAGCAACATACAGAGAGCGCTTTAAATCATTTATATCTAAGTTACACTCTCTCTATGGCCTACAACCAACTCATCAGAGATTAAAATACAGGAAAAGCTTTCTTAGCTCGACAGAAGACTTAGAAAAATTTGAAAGCAGAGCGGACCTATGGAAAGCTACAAAGAACCAACACTGCATGGAACCAATGGAGGAGTTGACACCTGGGTCTGGTGAAAGCTAAGAAATATGGAAATCATTCAATAGCCTCCACACGGGTACAAGATCCAGAGACACGATGAACAAATGGAACTATCCAGTGGACTCTGCTCTTTACGATTGTGATGACATGCAGACAACAACACTCATGTTTACCTGCCCTTTGTATCCTAATCAGTATATACTTGAGGAGCCTCATGGCAGCATGACAGAACACAATGTTGCTAGTTTCTGGGTAAGATCTGTTTAACTTGTACATATTTTAATCTTGTATTTTTCATTTTATGCTGTATAGCATGCCTTATTGTAAATGTGATGCTTCTGACACGAACAAACAAACATTCCAAAAGCTTTGCAACTGATAAAAAGATTTCAACCAAGTCCAACATTGTTTTATGTCACAGTGGCTGTGAATCCCATTGTGGCCAGATACTCCTTTATCATCTCAAACAATGTAAGCCTAAATAACTAAGTGGACATAGACTTCTGGTAGGAACCACGCCGATACTGCACACTTCATGTTGCTATGTAAATAACTTGGATTATGAAGCTTGTATCCGTTGCATCGTGTCACTTGTCTTCCTTGTAGATGCCCATGGATATATGTGTCAAGTCCCATGTAGCTGGCAAACCTCAGAAGAACCATAGATATTCAGAAAGGCATCTTTAATGCTAAGCAAGAGTAAAAACATCATCTTGAAAACCATAGGGATTCCCAGTCAGGATTAACTGGGAATTAACTCCTGCAGAATGTGGTGATATTCAGTGGCTTAGCTGGCTACATTCACAAAGGAATGGAGGAAGTTATGTTGGTTATATTCATATAACTGACTGCCACGTACAAGAGACCAACATCAGTGAAACTTTGTGGCATCGGATTTTGGTTTTAAAAATAAGATTGTCCAAATGGACTCTGGTTGCTCCAGCAAAGCTATTCTCATTCAATATTTAATTCAATTTAAATGTGCAATATTACCACCAGAACAATCAGAGTACTCCAGATTGTCTGTGGTGACAAGGGCACAAAAGGAAATATTATGAAATTCAGGAACTGGTTCATAGAATAATAAGACTATTAACTTGACCATTTAGATCACCATTGTGTCAAAAGAATGGTTGCACACGGATCAGCAGAAAACACTGAATATAAGGTGATTTCCTTTGGAATCTTACTGATGTTACAAATATCTGGACAAAAGATAAATAATAACAGAAGAAGAGGAAACTGATTTTCTATTTGTCTAAAACAATATATTTAGTCTTCTGTCCCAAATGATGAAGGGAGTCCAACTTTATAGCCAAGGAGAAAGGCTATGAAGTTGAAAGTAATTATTTTAGTTCAGGGTTGATGGAAAAGATACAGCCTCAAATATAAATATCTCAACTTTACCATGCAAAGTACACTGTTAGGAATGTGTAGGAAACTGTTGGAAAGGACAATTAATCTTTTAAAAGAAAAAGAAAAGAGAAACAAATCTTTACAAATTACCTGTCTTACACAGTGACTCATTAAACAAGTAATTAACCAGTTTATTAATATATTCACATATTTACATAACATTACAAATTAAAGTACTGCCCCAGCTCACTGCATAGGAGAGCAGGGTCTGACACTGGGAAAATAAATAGGCATTGCAGGGAAATAAAGACGTAGCAAGGCTCCAGCCTACTAAATCTTTGGTATTTGAAATATAGCAGTGATGCAGCATTTCACTTACTCAACACAGGGCATTCAACGAAGACGAGAAAGAGCAGAGTCCTGACCTAAAACTTTGTGCACTTATGGAGCTCCTCAATGACTGGATTCTCCAGTCCCTTTCCTGAAATGAGAAGGTTAATGTATGCAAAGGGATTCACACTGGATGGATCAGCCAGACCCAGCCCGCAATCTGTCTCAAAATACTTCAAGCAGCAAAAGACACTCCCTCCCGTCCCTGGGCTACACCACAAAGAAGAAAGAAAAGCTGAAGAAACGGGTAATTGTGACACCAAGGGACAAGCAAGTGAGGTTAAATTGCTGTCTGCCCTTTATCTGCCACCAAAAGTCTCACCAGATTCACTGTGCATACCAAGTGGCATGGCATCTCTCTCTCTCTCTCTCTCTCTCTCTCTCTCTCTCTCTCTCTCTCTCTCTCTGTGTGTGTGTGTGTGAGAGAGAGAGAGAGAGAGAGAGAGAGAGAGAGAGAGAGTTTACAGAGCCTAATGCAGAAGCTTTATGAGACAGTATAATGGAAGCAATTATTTAGATATGTATTCAAGTTCCACCTGAGTTGCTAAAGATTACCAAACACCAGCATTGTAGTTTTTAAACTATCCTTCAAAATGTTTTGGTCAAACAACCCATTTCTCCATATATATATATATATATATATTACATTAAGTTGATTCTTCCTTGTAAGACATGTATGCAATGATGGAATATTATGATACATTACATTTTACAAACTAAAGGCAAAACTTTTCTCCATTAAAAAGAGGCAAATCTCCTGATCAAGCAGTTTTGCCTACTTAAGGATCAGTCCATTAGACAAAAAAGTACCAAGGACACATTCCTAACTAACTTTTCAGCACAGGACATTTTATTGCATACAATTCTGGAACTGGATATAAAGGTTGTCATTGGTTCCATCAAAATAATGTCTCCAATAAACAATTTTGAAATTCTCAAGACCAAAAGCATTATCTACTAGTATTAAATTATGAAGATGAAAGTCCAGAGAAGTTGAGATCATTTCTAACCTGGGCATTTTCCTCTTCCCCTTTATCGCTACTAATTTATCATTGCTTGATGATGGACTTGGATTAGTTTATAAGTGCTACATGTCTTTGCAAACTATTCAATAAGCAATAGGCAACTTTTCCATCAGAAGCAAGCATGAAGGAAGAATCAAACCTGCATAATTATCTGATTATTTAAACAGTCCATACCAGCATAGTGGAACAAAGATTTTACAACTTATGTATAATTAAATAACTGGTTCATTTAGCATTAAGACAAACCTCAGGGTCTGGGAAAGTTAACTAGAGACAATTGATTAAATCAGATCCAAAATCAATCCAAAGTCCCATTTGCGAATCAATAAAGGATAAATGTTTCTTGACTTGCATTTCTGATTGAAGTTCTGCACAAGTGGGCTATCTGTATTAAACGTTTTGCATGGATTATCCTATAATAGGCAGCTTTTTTTCCATTAATTCCTTTTTCAAACATTATATAAGTCACAACTCCTTTTTTTAAAAAAAATTGGCTCCATAAAATATTGTAATAAAAGACTCAGATAAGCCAGTTAAAACATCCCTGGATTTAAACACTAAATTTGCTTGTATTCTTCCTCCCCCCACCACCATTCCACTAAATGGCATGCAAATCGTGTTGAATTTATGCTTAGTCCCCCAAAAAAGTATATTTAGGGATTGCAGAACTGGTGAAGTGTGGAGTTGTTGGCAAAGTTAATTAGTGCCGTAAGATATTTCGGGAGAAATAATATTGACCACGTGATTGCTGGAATGCTCAAACATTTCCCTCTGGAAGAAGTCATAAGTGATAGCTGTCATCAGAGTTTTCACTTAAAGCTCATAAACTGCTAGCCATACTTAGTATTCATTGTGGCTGGAATGAAATGAAGTGCTTTTGAAAGAAGTCTGTTCTGAAATGATTTTTTTCAGGAAGGTGAGGTTAGAGTTTGGGACTGGTCCCCAGTGGTGGGAGGCTGTGAAGCAGCTTCTTTGCACATCTCTGAGTGAGACAGTCAAGCTGTCAGCACAAACGTCTTCAGGAATTCCAGCGTTGGGGGCCTGGAAAGTTTCAACAGACAGAAGAGCTAAGTTTCAAATACTTAGCAAGATGAATAATGCTCAGCAGACACTTCAATGGTGCTTTCATAGTTCCTGAAGTTTATGATCAAAAGTACCAACTGGATCTGTAAGTCATTCGTCCTCTTCTACATAGGTCGATGGAAACCAGCCCACCTAAATGAGAAAATAATAAACATGGTATCAGATTGTTTGACTCAAGATAATTTTGTGCATGACCCTTTCAAATAGAAAATGATTTAGAAAAGGATAAACATTGCAACAAATTAACTGTTGCAGCAGAACATGTACTGTCTCTTTGGAGAAATATACATTTAATCATCAATAGGCCTGACAGAAATTCAGATATGGTTCTCAGCCGATTTGCAACCATTTCAGAATGGAGATGGAAATGTACAGAACTAAATTCTGTTCCATCTACGATCAACAGGGTAGTTTCACCTGTTAACCTACTTTCAGGCAGTAGGAGAGCACAGTTGCAAGCCAACATTTGTGGCCACTATGTTCCTTTCTTCCGTTGGCTAGATGGGGAGCAAACATCTGATGAAGTGAGCTGTATCTCACAAAAGATCTTAACAATATTTGTTAAACTGGAAAAGGTGCTCCCAGTCTCCTTTTGATTTTGATTTTCTGTCTAACAACAAAAGATTTCCTCTTGCTCCAATCCACTTTCCTGTAGGATAGGCCAGGGGTAGACAACCTTGGCTCTTTTATGACTCATGGACTTCAACTCCCAGAATTCCTACTCCAGCCATGCTGGCTCAGGAATTCTGGGAGTCCAGAAGAGCCAAGGTTGCCTATCCCCGGGATAGGCAAAAGAGAAGCAATCAATCCCTTGGTGGAGCAATAGCTGAAATGTACGTTTCCCTTTCTCTTAAAGAAACATGTGCAGTGCATGAATCAGAACTCCCCACTTCTCATTCTCTGTTGCTAGAATTTAGAATAGAATAGAGCTTGAAAAGACCTTGGAGGTCTTCTAGTCCAGCCCCCTGTTCAAGCAAGAAGTGACTGTCTAGCCTCTTCTTAAAAATCTCCAGTGATGGAGCACCCATGATTTCTGGAGGCAAGCTGTTCCACCGGTTAATTGTCCTCACTTTAAGGAAGTTTCTCCTTAATTCCAGGCTGCTTCTCTCTTTGATCAGTTTCCAACCACTGTTTCTTGCCCTGCCCTCTGGTGCTTCAGTGAATAACGTGATCCCCTCTTCTTGGTGGCAGCCCCTCAAATACTGGAATTCTGCTATCATGTCTCATCATGAAAGAGAGATGTGGCACATCTCTTCCTTATCTGGCTTTTTGTCCATTTCTGGAATTGAGGGCAGATGCTGGGCTGCTGCAACAGCACTAGGATAAAACTCCTTCACTTCTTTAGCTTCCATATTGGGAGGCAGAGTTTTTGCTTATTACTTTGCTACCACTTTGATGGCAGGCAGAGTTAGCAAAAAGGCTGTCATTTGAGATAACCCCTTTCTGAACTAGTCCATCTCCACATGCCTTCATTTGGAAGATGAGAACATCATATCCAAAAATCTGGTTCAGAAATGAAGTTCAAACTATTTTGGGCCTTCAACAGAAGTTCTGGTTCATTTCTTATGGTATCTTTTTGTTAATTTAAGCACATAATTTATGGTCTGAAGACATGAAACTCCTCTAAATTCAACATGGACATATTCAAGAACAACCTCTCCCATGCCTGAAAAATTTTCGGTGACTGTTTTAACATAGGCCAGCAAAACATGGACACTAACCTCGATATAAAAGCTACGAGTGGTGCAAAGAGCTATGGAAAAATACATGCTCAGCATCACAAGACAAGCTAGAAAGACCTGCACGTGGATTAGAGAACAAACGAAAGTATACGATATCAGCAAGAGAGTAAAAGAATTGAAGTGGAAATGGGCTGGTCACATAACAAGAAGAACGGATGGAAGGTGGATTAAGGCAGTCACAGAATGGATTCCACTTGATAAAAAGCATCCACAAAAGAAACCTAAAACAAGATGGAGTGACAACATCAGCAAGTATTGTGGGCCCAATTAGCTAAAGAAAGCTTAGGACCATGTTGGTTGGAAACATGCAGAAGAGGCCTTCATCCTGCAGTGGATAGATGATGATGATGGTGGTGGTGATAATGATGATGATGATGGTGATGATGATGATGATGATATTGTAGACAACTAGACTACTGTAGTCTATAGTTAATTTAAATTTCAGAAAGACAGCAAGAACGTTTCACATTTTCATGAGAAATTACTAAATATTCAATTCCAATATACTTAATACCATATACATTATATACAAATTAAGAATCAGGAGGAAGATAAAGGCTTACCCTTCCATTGACTTCACCTCTCCACCAGCCGTTGGCACTAATTTTTGTGTAAATTTTGACCACATCCCCTTTGAGCAGGGATAATTCACGCATGTCTCTTGCACAAAAATCGTAGCGAGCGATGGCTATCCCGAGGACTTTGGGACTCAGCACTGGGGGGAGAAATACAGGTAGGCAACATTATTTGAAGTTTCACAGCTGCACAGCAACTGAGTAACATTAGCAAATCTTTCTGTATACCAGTCTACTACAAGTGCAAGCAGAAATGAAGAGATGTGTGGTCTTATGGAATAGCATGAATGAAATCCATTCCATGCAATCAGATTTTTTTTCGTATAGCTTGCTGGTTGGATTTATTTAGAAACAAAATTACATATTCCTACAATCATTTGCTGATACCTATTCTTTGCGCTTCTGAGGGATTTTGCTTCTTCTCTCTCATTTTCAAGTTGTTTCTCTAAATCAGCTTCTTGAATGAATCCTCCTAAGTTGTAAGAAGAACCAATATAAACAACACCTTCTTCTTCTTCTCCTCCTCCTCCTCCTCCTCGCATTTTGATTCAAAGATACTGATAAATGTGCCTCCTTGAATTTTCACCATTTTACTGAAATCAATGGGGCATATTTCTAAGGGCAAGATATTCTCCAATGATTCCTAAATAGTGTATTTCTGGACTAAGAATACTTTTTCCAGGACACAAATATAAAGCTCTGAAGTTTCAATGTGACTAAAAAGTGAATAGAAAAATTACAGAATTTACTGAGGTCAAACACTAAGCCATTATGGCTTTGGTTCCTCCAGCCCCGAGTCTCAGTTCTTTCAAAGTAAGGGACAGACTCTCCTTTAATTTTCCCCAACTGCCTATTCCTCCCCATTGTTGCCCTTTTGGCTACTCAGAATACTGCCTTACTAGCAGTCTCCAACCCACATGGCTCTGGGCCTGGGTCTAAGGCTTCTTGTGGTCTTGTGGGTCTGAAGCTTCTTGGCATATGTGGCGCTGGGTCTGCAACAAGCCCAAGCTGCAATGCGGTATGAAGCTGCAGACCTACTAGGAAGTCTTGACAACCCCAGCCTGGCACAGCAGCACAGTGCAAAGCCACAGCTTCCCTGAAAAGGCTCAGCACAGCAGTGCGGTACAAAGTTGCAGCTACCCTAGGAAGCCACAGCCCAGCCTAGCAGTGGGACACAAAGCCACAGTTGCCCAAGGAAGCCCCAGCCCCCCCCCAAGAGCATGAAACACAGCCATTCAAGAAAGCCCCAACACAGCTCAGCAGTGTGGCACAAAGCCACAGCCACCCTAGGAAGCTACTGCCACCCCAACCTCAGTTGCCTTTGCCACTTTGTGCTCCTCCATTTTTTTGTTCCCACTGCTGCAAAGGTATGTCTCCCCCCCCCAATTTAGCCCTTTACACAACAGTTGTGGCCCACATGAGGTCATCTTTTCCAGGTCTTGCAAGGAAACCACTTATGCAATCTAAAGAAGAAAGCTCTGGGCTGCCAAGTTTTGATCACGTGACTGCAGTGGCACTGCAAGAGCTGTAACTTCAGGGATTGGTTGTTAAGTTCCTTCATTCAGCGCCACTGTAACTTCAAACATTTACTGAAAGAATGGTCATCAAGCAAGGACTACTTGTAAGATACTGCTATTAAGAGAAGGCACATGAGGTGCATTCAAGAGGCCAGGCCAAACCTTCCCACAGAAAAAGATCAAAAGGCACAAAGCATTATCTCCCTTAGTATCAGTGATGATCAAATTGTGCATACATGCCATTGTGAAACTGCAAAAAAAAAAAAAATGGGAAGAGTTGTGGAGAATACATTAGAGAACAAAACTCAGCAATAAACTCTACCAGATGAACCTGATGAAAGGCCATCATATGAAAGACTATATGAGTTGCCTGAACTTTGAGATGGGCAGCAAATAAATTTGATAAATAATCTATATTAGATGCACTATAGAAATGGTTAAAGTCCTGCAAGTTTCAGAGATAAAATGACTGCATATTATAATTTGCAGATTTGCAGCTATATAGTCTGTACGTGCATGAGCACGCGTGCGCGCGCACACACACACACACACACACAAAGAAAGAGAGAGTGTCGCATCAAAAGAAAATTCACTGAACAACGGAATATGAATCAAAGGTATGTCTACTGATTTTAAGGTACAGGAATGGAGCTACCATGTTCCTAAAGAATATAAAGCAAGATAATAGTAGTAGTAGTAGTAGTAGTAGTAGTAGTAGTAGTAGTAGTAGTAGTAGTAGTAGTAGTAAAAGAATTGAAGGGGTCTTGGAGGTCTTTTAGTCTAGCCCCTGCTCAGACATTTTGAACATTGAACCCAAACCCTTTCATCCTAGCAAAAATGCTACTGTGCAAATGACTATACTGCAAAGACATTAAGTTCTACCTCCTGCTTTCGTAAAAAGGATTAACAATCAGCAATAGTTTTTTTCCTAAATTTAAAACTGAAGGTTTGCAAAAGTGGCAGCTATTTAAAAAAAAATCACCATTCATGAAATGGCGCACATGCTTTTGCGTCATGTGAATTTATATGGTACAAAAAAGCAGCCTTTCCATAATAGTAACAGATGCTGCACTTAGGAAAAAAAAATCTATGCAAACATCAGTGACCAAAATTGAAATGCCTAAGATGAATTCACACTCTGAAAACCAATTCCGCTGTTTTTTGTCACTACAGAATCTATTGCATAATCCTTCAAAGTAGCCAATAATACAAATATGCTCAAAAAAATATTTTAGGGAGATAGAATGGAGTCTAATAATAGCATCCAATAGTTTATATTAATTGACATTATGATACATACCGTTCACTATTGGCTAGACACATTAATTAAACAAACACCTGCACAAAAGTTGTAAAATGCCATAACTCTTTTACTATGTCGCATTATGAGAAATATATTAACAGTGACAGGAGAAAAGCAAGGAGAAAAAGAAAAGCAGCAATAATTCATACTGGCAGAGCAATAAAAACATACAGTGATTGTTTAAATCAGGCAAAATATTGTCACTAATACTCCAAAATAAACAAGTTTTGATTTGGCTTGATCCAATCCAATCCAATCTAATCTAATCTATCAAACATTCTGTTTCCCATAGCAGCCAGAAAGATGCATTCTGGAAGGCCAACAATATGAGATCAAAGATTGTGTCCAGCAGCATCTGTCCCCTGAGAAACCATTGGCTCTATATGTAAAACTTTCATTTAGCCTTCTTAATTGTCCATGATCTTTCCAGATTCATTTAATTCCCATACAACAGCTATTTGTCTAAGTAGATCACAACAATGAAGATACCCCTCTCTTTAAGGAGAGCTCTGCCACATAGTGAAAACATATAGCTCTGAGGCTGAACTTATACACATAGAAACATCTGGAGTTCTATAACTACTGCCCATCATGTTTTGCCACTGCGGTGACTCAAATAAACATTCCAGAGGGAGGAATGGAAGAACACATCAAAGCCTTCTCCATCCATCCCAGAATTGTTTCTATCTATCTTGGGCAGTTAATCTTCTCACCACAGGAACAACCAAGGAGATTTTCAAAAAATGACAAAATGGAGTCAACAAATTAAGTTTCCCATCCCAAAGCAGACAGCTGAGCATCTGGTCAATGCATTCCAATAGTTAATACTGTGAATCAGTAGCATCTTCACATAGCTTAACAAAGAGTTACATAAAAAGTTGTTTTCCTTGATCTGCCTGAATGGGAACATCTGCCCTGACTTACTGTCCTCTTCTATTAAGTTTGAACATTACCAGATGTGGCTTTAGATCCATGTGGGAAGGAAGCAAGTTGCAGTTATCATCAATTAATCCAACATATTGTAAGATCCTTTCCATTGTATTGGGCCCTAGCTTCCTCTGGTTACAATAAAGAGGATTTGTGCAAACAGGGAACTTCACAAGCAGATATGGTATTTCCCATCACATCATGTTCTAATTTAAACAGCCTCCATCTTCAGTCCTACACATCATAATGTTGGGATTCAGAACTGAGTAAATGATTCATCTACCTAAATATAATGCCGGAAATTTGACACTTCTAATTATTGCAGGAAAAAAATATCCTATCCTTTTAAGGTGGGTGACACAATGAGAGAAGTGACTAAAGGAAACACAAATGCATAGAAGATGGATAAAATTAACTTACAGACAATGCGCATGCAAAACTGCTGTATATGGAAAGCTATCTTCCTTCTTGTACTTTATCCGAAAATGGTCTGGCAAAAAGGCTTTTAGGGATGGGACGAATATTTGAGGGCACCAAAAATAGAGTAGACCCATTTAAGAATATCAATAGCTATGCATAATGTAATCATATTTTATTAGTTTTGATTGGCAACATGGGTACTTTCACCAATATTCTGAAAACATAACATTCCAGAACCAGTTTTTTTGGCATTTCCTGCATAGCTGGCAGAACATTTAGATGACCTTCTTGAATGTCAAAGAGCAATATCACATGACAGCCCCAAATCACTCACTTTTGCACGTGCTTTAAACATTCTCCAGCTGGGTTAGAGCTGCTGAGAGTAAATCACTTCCATGGGGCTAGAGTAACATATTTGTAAACCGCAGTTGTGTTTTAAGTCAAATTATGTTCCGGAGTTGGGCAATGAATCCGTCCCTTCCCTAGCTTGCACCACACATAGAAACTGAAATACCGAACTTGTAAAACAAGCAAATGGAGAATAAATAGAAAGCAGTAAAGCAGTACCTGACCAAAAAGGAGTGGAGGAAGGGGGAACAAAGCTGTAGTCTGGCAGAGTTACAAAAGAAAACCCACAGAAAGAAGAAGGGTCTTAGAAAAAAAGAAGAAAAAAAGAGAGAAGCAAAATGACATTGAATGATTGGTAAAAAAAAAATTGTGTTCAAATATTCTTATCACTTGCATCTGTTTTAAGAAGAAACAAATATTTTCTTGGCTGTTTTGCAGTTTTTTGTTTTTGTTTTAAAAAACCCTCTTACCTGCTTAAAGGCATAGTTTACTCCTTTGCTTTGGCCATTTCATTCCCCCACTCCTTCCTGCAACTTATCAGGAACATTTTGCAAAAAGGATGAATTTCCATAGACGAGGATGCAATTAATTTTTATGCACTTGCTTACGCCACCCTGTATGTTGGAGCGGCAATTGTTTTAGCAAGCAACTGTAGCTTAATAGCTCTGTGTCAAGTTAAAGCTTCCCATCTCCAGTCAGCCATGGGTAATTTGGGTCACCCATAGCAAACTGGGAGGATAACAATGGATTTGCGGAAGACACATGCATGCCATCTTTAATTCATCTCATTTCAAGGAAATGGGACATTTATTAGCTTTATTTTGTTTCCATACCCCAGAAAGAGTTGCCAAGGTAAAAGATGAATGTATGGGTATTTTCAATAATAGTCTTCATAGCATGCCGGCAAAATGTATGCTTTCAGATGCTTTTAAGTTCCCGAAACACTTAGAAATAGATATGGAATCCTACATAACACATAGACCATTTAGTATCATAAGGAGCAGCGGAAAACATTGTAAGATGTACAAATCCATTTCCTGAATCACTCTGATTTTCCTAACAGCTACAAAGCAGGGTCCATAGTAAGGGCAATTTGCAAAGCTTTTTCAAAGACCTATGAACTAGTTAGTGTATTTTAGTACAGTAAGCAGAAGAGTTGAACAAGTATTAACATTGCTGTGATAAAGCTACGGTGCTTCTGACAATCATTTTCTAATTCATCCAAACTGGAAAATCACAGGTATCCATTTCTGAACAAGCATAGATACTAAACCACACTTTTGAAGTTGCCTATGGTTGTCTATGAAAATGGTAGCTGGGAGGTTAGAGTTACAGTTAGTCAAAGTAATCACACTGAAATAAATGAGATTTAAGAAGCGCTATTCATTTCAGTGGCTAACTGAAGTACAAACTCAGTTTGATGGGAGAAATTGATGAATTAGGAAATTATAGTTAATCCCTGATCTGATTGGGAAGGGAAGAATACTGAAACTGATCATGTAGGCAAAGGATTTATTAATATCTCAGCTTATTAAGCAGCTCCACACATAGCCAATAATTACCACATTCAACCATAAATCTTATGGTGGGGGCAGAAGCTTAAAACTACAACATCTTCTAGCTGCTTCCTATTTAGCAGAAAGTAGATTGCCTATCTCTTCCCCCAAATTAACAGGCAGTGAGACACCAAGAAACCCAACACCCATCTTCAATGAGCAACAATACAGAAGTCATCCCACAGTGTTATTGCACACAAGCAAAATTTTGTCTTTTTATCATACAATTAAGCTTTCTCAATCATAGAATATAACAAAACATCCAGAAGGAATTATCTTCTGCCAGTAACACATTTTTTTTTCTTTTAATGTGTTGAAAAACTTTTAACAATACTGTTAAAAGTGAAAAGACAGAATAGCTTGAGAGCTAGGGACCAACTCTTTGGAAAGCCACTGAAAATGCCAGGAAAAAAAACCCAATCAGTTAATTCTCCATATTATGAAAAACTCATAGCTGGAAATTAGTGCTAGGAAATTATTATTAGCTGGAAATTACTGCTACAGATCACTTCACAAACGATCTTCTATTGCTGAGATGACCTGATGCTAGTTCAAGCTCACAAGATTTGTCGATTCTCATGCAAATAATTGTGCTGTGGCTTTTGTGTTTATAATTCTCACACCACAATCTTTCTGACTGATTAAATCAAGTTATTTAATATTTGGAGGTATTTTGAAAAAATAAATTACAAAACTGAAGAAGGAGAAAGAGTCTCAGTCCTTTTGAGGTGTCCTGCATCCAAATTATTCACCAGGCACGCTGGCTGAGGAATTCTGAGAGTTGAAGTCCATAAGCCATAAAAGGGCCAAGTTTGAAGACCCCTGATTTAATAGCTTGCTGCATCAATGCGTTTACTTATTTGCTCTGTTTCCACAGTGCCAGAAAACATGAAGTTGACATTAGTGGCCTTTTCTACTTGAAGATGAAAGAATATACTGTGTGATACTTGTATTTGCTCCAACACAGGAAGAAAATAAAACATAACACGATGCCTCTAATCAAAATGATGCAAGAACAATAAGAGTGAAGAATTTCTGTGGGAATGTCGCTTACTCTCATCATTTCCTCAATTATTTTATCTACTCCCTTGTAGACTTTAGTCACCCTCTCCATTTTTATAAAGATGTGTAGTTGATCGTATGAGTCCCACCTCACTCTGCAGCCAAATGTTCATTGTCCATGGATGGATTTTTCTGATTGTGTCCTTCCTCCACTCTGCGCAATCCTCTCCCAAATAGGTGACACATTCTCTTTCCTGCCAATGCTATTGGTTGTTGTTATTTTTCTGTTGACTTATAAGTGACGAAGACTCTCTTGTAATATTTCTATAGATATTAAGCATACCATTTCCCTATTTATTAGGTATATAAAGAATTGGCTCTGGAGGAAAAAGCCCCGTTCAAAATATGTAATGTCACAGCCTCCACTTTCCTGCTCCTAAGCATTTTAAAATATCTTCCTGTCTTTAATGGGTACTCAGAAAGGCTCTGAAATTATCCATCTGCTTCTCAGTAATTTAGCAGTGTATTAAAAGGGCATACGTGTGTCTACATGATTTTTAATTTTCTGCCATTATTTTTAGAAATTTCTATTGCTCATAAAATCTAAACTCTCCAATTCCAGCACTGTGAAATTTGGCAGCAATCACAGTGGCTACACAACCAAGTGAAGCCAATGAATAGATGCCCAGATGCTCTCAGCAATTTCAAATCAGATATCAGTACTACTATTCATGTTGTTTTACCAAATATTAAGGGCAGCATAAGTCACCTCTATTAAACTCCACAGTACAGGTTCATTTAGTGACCGTTCAAAGTTACAACGGCACTGAAAAAAGTGACTTATGACTGCTTTTCAGAGTTACGACCTTTGCAGCATTCCCACGACCATGTGATCAAAATTCAGATACTTGGCAACTGGCTCATATTTATGACCGTCACAGTGTCCCAGGGTCATGTGATCACCTTTTGTGACCTTCTGAAAGCAAAGTCAATGGGGCAGCCAGATTCACTTAACAACCTTGTTACCAATTTAAAAACTGCTGTGATTCACTTAACAACTGTGGCAAGAAAGGTCATAAAATGGGGCAAAACTCACTTAACAAATGTTCCACTTAACAACAGAAATTTTGGGCTCTATTGTGGTCGTAAATTGAGGACTACCTATACTGGTTTTTGCAATAAGTTATAAACATATATGGATGAAAAGGGGTTGCCTTTGTCCAACCTCAATTCGGTTACTCTAAAGCAGTGGTTCTCAATCTGTGGGTCGGGACCCCATTTGGGGTCGAACGACCATTTCACGGGGGTCACCAAACAACGCAGTCCGCCATTTTTTTCCCCTTTTCCTTAGCTGTGCTACTCCCTTTTATTCTATTGGCTTTTGAAAGCCAATAGAATAGACTCTCTTGAATAGAGTCTAATTCTATTGGCTTTCAAAAGCCAATAGGAATTGTCCAGGCTGTCTCTGCCCTGCTGAGCCCGCCAAAAGTCCCATTCTGCAAACGGTGCTGCACCAGTTGAGTAGTCCTCGACTTACGACCGGTTGGGGGTCGCGGCATTAAAAAGGTTGAGAACCACTGCTCTAAAGTAAGTCTTGTTTAGGAACACTAACAAGCAGCATTGTAGAAGAAATCATTCCGACCTTAAGCTTCTTTACAAAAACTCTGCATTATAAGACTGTGGATTTAAACAACAAGAATAATTCATTTGAATGTCAAATGCCAAATTTGAATTACATGTTTATTAATTCATGTAGCCAAAAGCAGCTTAGCCAATGCAAAATGCCTGTTTACAAATCAATTGCTCACTTACATTTTTAATAGATGTTTGAGCAGCGATTTGATTTAAGGAGAGGCAGTCAGGAAGTCTAACTGGACCTGTTCATAAACCTGTCAGCAGATGCTGATTCTGCTTAGCTGCAGAAAAACCTGGCTAAATGCATTATCATATTAATAGGTTATATGTCAAAAATGCAAAATGAAGATGCTTTCAACTGAATTTCATTTCTGTATAATAAAAAACGACAACAAATGGTAATGCTTACAATTGCTACTTGCTCGGTGGCTCCTTTGATCCTGGGTATTTTCACATTCCTTGTACGGGTACTGAAGAGTAGTATCCAAACTTCTGAAGCCTTCTTTGAGAGACTGATGCTTGTAATATTCCACAAGTTCCTTCCAGAATACAAATATTTAGACAGAAGTTAATAATTATTTCTCTTGAATTTGTATTGCACGGATATTTGATGACATTTGCAATCAACATCAAAAGACATCTTGAAAACAGGAATTAACTGCAGGAAGTATATAATTTGGTGGAAAGAGAACCCAAAAGTGTTACGCAAGCAAATTTCACAAAATGTCTCATCTCTATTATAAAACTGCAAGTTTGAGTGGGCCATTTTGAGCATTTTGGAAGTGCTCCTACTTAATCTGAACATGTTGAAGCTCGGAACTTCACAAGTTCAATCTTGAGATGCTTCCGTTATGCTCAGAATCTCACCCACTCTGCTTTGAAAAGGGCATTTGGCAAAAATTCATACTCTAAATGTTTTGAACACACCCCTAGTGAGTTTTGATTCATGCATGAAAGATGCTGCTTGTTCATACCTGTAGAAATGGACTTTTATTCATGCAAGGGTGGCCTAATTCTTATCAAAGATACTGTATGAATTAAACGTATCAACAAGCATCAGCTTTAAACACTTTTTACACTGAAAACAATTGCACATAAAAGCAATTAAATTTTAAATGGATTAAAATGGAATTGTTCTTCCAGTATCTGGTTTTCTATGTGCATGGAAGTATACCCTTCTGTGAATCTATGACATCCTTCATTCATGAGGGCCATAGTTCCAACCTAAATTTATTACATTACATAATGCTTACATTAATTATGCTTATTGTTGTTATCCGGGTTATTCCTTATAACACATACATGAAATATTTTGCCTATCCATGTTTATTAATTGGTTTGTACCAGAAAGAAAATCACTCTAAACTGATTTGCCAAAAAAAAAAAAAAAAACCACCTGGAAACAGTGGCAACTACTGGGAAAGAGCTAAAGACATCAAATAACTATGCTGAAGCTCATATTTGACCAGATCAATGTTTATTGCAAATTTCTCCAGGACATACAGGATCAAATGTCCTTTTATACATATATTCATCATTTCAAAATGTGAAATTAGGTTTACTGGTTTCACAATGAATGAGCCAAATACAAGACCCAAAGGAGATGTATGTTAATATTTAGAATTTATCTTCATTCTTTTAGCTACACAGTAAGGGTACCAGTAATCCTATTGCTTCTTTTAATTGTTATTTAAACTGATATGAATACACCATATATGGATCAAAACTAGTTATCCACAAATTTTATTCTTCATTAATTTTGTGATAACATACAGTTGATTATCATAGATAGATAGATAGATAGATAGATAGATAGATAGATAGATAGATAGATAGATAGATAGACAGACAACGACAGATAATGACAGACCAATATCACTGGAGTTACAAATCATTCAGAAAAAAATGCTTCACAATCCATATTCACAATTCTTTCTGTTCACATTATTAAAGCCAATGAACCTCCTTCCAGGACTCACATGGCTGCTTTAAAAGCAACCTCTGGCTGTCTCCATCAGCACATATGCATAACCATTTTGAAAACAACAAAAGCATTTAACATTTACAGCACTCTCTGGGCAATTTGCAATCCTGGGTAGTTTGCAATCCCCAGCAATATGTTCTCATTTTATCAACCTCAGAAGAATAGAAGGCTGAATCAACCTTGAGCCTCATTAGGATCAAACTCCAAGCTGTGGGCAGAGTTTGCCTGCAATACTGTTCTTTAACCACTGCATCAAGTAAGGATTTCACTAATGACAGCCTTTGAAGCACAGTGTGCATGTTGGGTTAAAGTAATTTAGCTTTCTTCATTAAAAAAAACTTATGCCTTTAAACTCTTCTTTTTCTGGAAACTTTGGATATACTGTATATTTATATACGGACCAATCTATGACTATAATAATAACAAATTCAACTATAGCTCATTTTTCTTAAAAGGGTGATCAAACTGTATTGTAAACTTTAATGAGAGACAATATTAGAAATATGTATTTTGAGAAGAAGTATGCTTTAAATCATCTTTAAATCAATGGCTGTAAGAATGAACGTGTGAAGAAGAATCAGTAACTCTTTACAGATTGAAAGATTTCATTTAATTTCTTGCTCTTCTCCTATTCTTGATTATTTTTAATGAACCTGCAGATAGTACAATCAGTATCTTAAAAAGTGGGAAAGAACTTTCAGATGACAGATGTTTACAAACAACCATCAAAAACATTCAAAACAGACCTGACAAGCTTACTTCTAATCTTTTTTTTTTTAGTTTCTTACATGCTAATAGCTTAATGAAAATGTATAAACCTGTGGCTAATACAGACTTCTCCATTTGTATTAAAAATTGATTCAAGGGGGGAAAAATTATCCCTGGCAAATACGCTGGTGATTAATTGTTACAGCTGCATCAAAGCCAAACATTTAGATTTCATGAATTTCAAGTGGCAGATATTCAAGCACATGGTCCTTGGGATCAATGGAATTCAATATATTTAAGTTTAGCTTGATGGCATTTATTGCTTCTAGTTTTGAAGGGCTGCTCTTCTGTTACATGTGAATATATGAAATATACAGCTCTCATTGGTGTGATAAATCTCCTATTACTGCTGATCCCATCTCTATGTGGAAAGGTCACACCCCCTTTCTAACGTAATGTTTATGTCCATGTTTTCCCTTTATTGCTATGTGTGCAACAGTATATTTTTTACTATAAGGTATATTTTCTGCAATCAGCCGGAAAAATACTGGGAAAGTAAATGGTGCGAAAGCTCAGATTGATACAATTTCTTGATAGACAAAGCAATACCAGTGTTTGATACCGGTTTTCTGATTCAGTAACCTGAGAGTAAATTTCTGTGATAAAATAAACGAGTTTTCCTTGTCAGAGGACTGCGTGTTTCATATAACAGTATACATAAATAATGGTCTTGCAAATATGTCTACATGGACATGTCAGAGGTCTATGAACCAGCCACTGTTGCTTCTCTCTGTTTGTTTGCTTTTAAATAGCAGAAATCTTTAGCTAAAAGACTGTAGCTACAAAGCTATCAGACAATAACATGCCCCTGGCATGGTCCTAGTAAACATTAGCTGTGGCTTGCCAAATTGATGGTCTGTGAGAAGACATTCTATGTATTTCATCAGATGGCATGAGTATCAAGACTGTGAAGCTTTTAAAAACAATATACAATGTACTTTCAAGAGTTATATCTATATCAGAACATGGACAGAGAATCCAACATGTTATCTGAATTATAATGCACATGGCTCAAGGCTTCAGCACACAAAAGAAAATTTGTTCCAGATGTCTTCTCTCTGAAACAGATGGGTTTATTATAGTTTACTGGAACTCCAAAATAATCATAATCCTAAATTACCTTTTGAAAGTATTTGACTCAGTGCCTCAGTATAAAACTTAAAGCCTGCAAAAATACTAGCTGAGATCTTTCCTCAGCTATGAAGGTTACTAAAGGGAGTCAATGTCTCTTGCCTATCCTAGCCTGCAGGGTTGTTATAAAGAAAATAAAACCAATCATCTCAGAAGAAGGCATGATAAAAATGTAATAAAATAGATTGACAAAAATATTGTGGCAATTTTCAAACAGCAGTTTTTGTATTTTGGGAAGGACTCATTTTTTGGTGGAACCAGATACCGTATTTTCCGGTGTATAAGACAACTCGGCGTATAAGACAACCCCCAACTTCGGAGATGATTTGCATGGTTAGAAAGTTGTTTTATACGCCAGAAAATACGGTATTTTCCGGCATATAAGACAACTCGGCATATAAGATGACCCCCGACTTCGGAGACAATTTGCATGGTTTAGAAAGTCATCTTATACGCCAGAAAATATGGTAATCTATTCCTCAGTCTTCAGATGGCTGTGTCTGATATTGCAGGTCTGTGTGTTTAGGATTCTTTTTTTCCTGATTTAATAAAAATTAATATCAGTGAAAGCTGGACAGTGGACAAATCAATTAAATGAATGAATAAATAAATAGAAATATGTAAAAAGATTATGTTTATTCAAAACAGTAACCTATCCACGGGATTTAGAAAAGCTACATTCTGGGCTTATTTTAAACATCCTTCACTTAAGATTCTAAAATGGCCCTTTACATTTTGTATATATTTGGAAATAAGTTCCATTGATCTATTGCAAAACTTTTTCAGAGTAAGCAGGTACAGATCAGATTGTAAAACATATTTAGCATTTGCTTAGTCTTTCTACAACAATAATGCAAGTCTTGCACTTTTAAAACAATGAATTATTTTACAAATAATTATACAAATGCTAACTCTCACTCTTCTAACATTCTAATTCATTTGTAATCAATAGATCTTGGTATAATGAAATTAACTCAGAATAAATGATCATATAAATAACAATAGGGGAACACCAAACACTATAGATAAAGGATCTAGAAATAATGCAAGTCATATATTTCACCAAATTCCTGAAATTATTTAAGTAGAGCATGTTTCTGGTCCATCTGTTCCTCCCCACCAACTCCAAATTATAATTATCTAAAGTAGATATGTCAAACTCGCAACGTCATGTGACATTGCGCGACATATCAGAACTTATCCCCCATTGCCAGCAATAGGGTGGGTGCGGTTTCCTCGTGATGTGTCCGGCCCACGGGCTGGCAGTTTGACACCCCTGATCTAAAGAAAACCATACTGACCAATGCAGAGATTAAGAAATATGCAAAAAGATCAAAGCAAAAGTATCTCCTTTATTCTGCTCTTTCAAACAACAGCAATTTCTTTCCAAAGTGAAAATATAAGATAAGTTATTAATACAAACTGCTATTCATCGCCAATTCATTCAATATAGTCATGCTAATCGGTCATATGTAAGTCTCTGAAGCTACAATATAGTTTAGGCCAAGTTGAGCCTAAACCAACTGACATAAAAATATTATTTATGAAATATAAGCATTGCATAATTAGACCATTCTTGAATGATTGTTCTGGCTTAGGACTACTTCAAAAAGTTATTGCTAATCTTCCAGTAAACCAAAAGCGTACAGGATTCATACTTCCTGTTCCTGAATTTCCATTTCAAATATTAGTAAAGAAAAATAAAGTGGGAATAATATGTACTTCCTTCTTAGCATGGAAGTTATCACATCTTCATTACTGTAAAACTACAAGCAAATATACAGCATCTCTATCAGAATGTTCCCTCTTACAATTTTAATATAAATAAGCCAAATGAACTGGAATCTGTTTAATACATGCTAAGTCATGATCCTTATACTTTCAAACAATAATGAACATTGTCTTTTTTCATATGTATGGCTGCCCAGAGTTGTTGTTATTGTTTTTGACAACTTTACAGGTACTGGGAGATAGATTCATTTATTAATCACCTATTTCCAATGACAGTGAATGCAACTGTTGTTAATATGTGTTAAAAACTAATCAGTTCACTGAAGGCATCTACTGTACCTTCAAAGAATTTGCCAAGAATAATGATAAGAACTATACACCAAGCTAGATAGTAATAACATAATAAGATAATGTCCAATTAAGATATTTTTGGAAACAGGAAAACAAAATAAAAATTTATACTTACCATTAAACTTCTAAATTTCCTATTTTCTGCAATGTGAAAAAAGCTTTCTCTTGTGAATATCTTGATGTGCTTCACTTCATTATTGTACCTATGGGCAATGAATAATTTATGAATATAAATGTGTTTTCAATCTGGAAAAATCAATAATTACTTGACAGCATGCCCAAACTCTCCATGAATAAATTCTTAAGACAAAACACATATCCATGCCAATACGCTGCTGACACCTAATTAACAAAAGACATTTATTAGAGTTCAGTTTAACATACCCGCCTAAATTCAGATTTAAGAAAAAGCCTCCCAGCAATATCTAATTACTGGATCCCACCAAGCTGATTGCATTCAAAAGATACCAACAACTTTTCAAAAAAAAAAATATTATTCCTTCGGTATGATATCCTTGTTCCCATTTGATTCAAGGGAAAAATTATGTTTGGCTTCAGTTGATAGCTTGATCAATTCTGAAAAATTTCTAGTTAAAATGCAAATGGACATTTAAATCACTCTTTACTAGCTGTCATAAAATCATTTGTGTTCCAAGTCACAGAACCATTACTACAACCTCCCAACAGAAGAGTTTACTTGCAGAAAGTAATAAAATAAGAAAACAAAGCTGACTCCATGAAAGACAAGTCTATGACTATTAGATGATTGCTGGATTAGGATTCCCCTAATCCCTAACCTTAACCCCGCAAACATGGTGACTGAAAGGTGGGGTGTAAGAACTTTTCATATTTTACTCTTCCTTAAGCATAATTGTTAGATTCCAGAGAGCCAGTTTGTTATGGTAGTTAAGGCATTGGGTTAAAAAAGTATATTCTAGTCCTGCACAGAAACACAGGCACAGAATCCAACTGGGTGACTATGGCACAGTTATTTTCTCATAGCCCTAGAAAGAAGCAGACAAAGGCAAACCACTTCTGAAAATGCTACCAAGAAAACTTCATGTGCTCCATATAGCTGCCAGGAGTCAAGGCTTTGTTGAAGGGAAGGTACAGCAGCAACAACTTCATAATAACAGAATAATAGTGGCTAGGGACACTAATTTCAAAGAAGTTCATCAGGGCAGGCAAGCCAAAACTACTTTTCAAACCCATCAAGGTTTTCATAATATTTTTTTAACCAATGAATCTAACTAGAGTATCCTTATCAAAAAAAAATCCATATTGAATATTGGCCTATCAATTGCATGAACAATGTACAGAAACACGTAATTCGCTTACTTAATGCTAATGGCATATTCTCCTGATTCTTTAGTCCTATACCGCACTAAGTAAGTGCTGTTTATCCGGTTAATAAGTTCTGCTTCTGCTTGTAATCTTTCCATTTTTCCAGCATACCTGAAATAAAGTGAAGTTTATTTTACTATATTTTCTGTATTTTATTTTGCTGCTCCAAACTCAAACATAATATTTTGATTAGGCCAAACCTGATGGCAAGAATCATATGCAACAATCACAGGCAGATATGCCCACAACAGAATGGGTATCTCATAAGCAAAAACCAAAAGTATCTATCTCCCATTCTCAGTAATACAGTCAAGCATCACTAACTACATTTCTTGAACTGCAGATACAGCCAACCAATTCCAAAATATAGAAATTCTGTGAGAGCCACAGAAAATCATCTTTGCATGGAACCCTTCTTCTTTTTTGCCAGTTTTAAGATGCTGGTACTTTGTTTTAATGATTAGAATAGTACTCTGATATGTGTACAATTGAAATGTTATATTGCTGTATTTTTTGTATAATCAAAACCTTTAGTCTACCTTAAACTCACCAAGGCATATCGCACATTGACTTAAGAGAAAGATAAAAGATGATAACTGATTAATAGCTTGCAAGGTGAGTCTTCTTCCTATGAGTCTCCTATGAGAACAAATAATTTTTCTATCTTTCTCTTTTTAATCAATGTACCAAAATCAGTGACAACCATGTACCAGAATTACCTCTCCCTCAAAAATTAAATTAACTTAATTCAATTTAAATCTTTCAGAGCATAAATGAATCCTGCATCTGAGAAAAGTATAGGAGTATAGATCTTGGCAAAATATTACATTATCTGCTGGCATGCATCGTATTGTATCCATTTTCTATTCTCATCACCATGGTCAACCATATTGAAGCTCTCAAAAAATCAGGTAATTCAAAGGGACATCCAGAAACAAATTTCCTAGGAAAATAATGTAAATTGTATGTATGGGTCCTATGGAATAGTTTGTTTCTTGCTCTCCTCAATTGGAAATTGGTATCAAGAACATCTCTATGAAAGGACAATCTATATGAAAGGATAATTAAGCAAGATAAGGGAGTGGCTAGACTTTCTGGACTTAAATTTGGGATGATAAGAGATCATGACTGGGTGAAAACTCATTCAAATGCAAAGTTGGCAGGCTCTGAAGGAGTAGCCATAGCTTATTATATCATTTCCCAGAGATACAAAATTGGTTGCAAGTCAGGTTTATCCATGCAAAAATACAGTTATGCAGTATATATACTCAATTATTTTTGCTTATATTACAACAAGATGCATTCCGTAGAAGATCAGAAAGGTTAAACCACAAAAAATTAGATTTCTATTAATATCATTTTTCTCTCAAGCTATTTATTTGAATTACCAGCTCTGCCTAAAATAAAAAATATAACAATGTTTAGCTACCTACCATGGCTGAGAAGAATAGTCTACTGGCTTAGGGACCTAAAATAAGATAAACATATTAAAACAAAATACAATTAAATGTAATAAAACAAATTGCAAAACAAAATCAATAAAATAAATTACCATTAAATATGTACATCTCAATGAATTTTACCCATTTTCAGAAAATGATTAAATTGGTTACTCTGCATTATTTGTGGCACTGTTGCTCAATATTTCAGTTTATACAATCAAGTTTTTAAAAATTACGTTTAGTTGACCTGATACAACCCTAGCTATATCAGTTAATATAAAGCTTTATTACAGAAGTTTTCTTACCTAGATTGGGGTAATTAAATTCACCATTTATTGGAATACGGTATGTACCAAAGTAAATTAATCATCCAAGCAAAAAAGCAACATTTTATAGCAAATTTAAGTTGACCCACCAAATATAGGACCACCTGTTTAACATCTATTTTCTTCTCAGAAATACTGATGTTTCATTCTACATTGTAACAGACAGAATCAAGCAAAGTAGGAATAATCAAAAATATATTTTCCACATCTCCAGAGAACAAGAATGCAAGAAAAATATGGCTGTTGTTTTCAAAAGCAGTCATGTACCTATTGTGAGGCCTATTCTCAGTCTAAATATGTACGTGCATAAGATGTTCATCAACTAGATTTTACATTTCAAAGAGATGAACTACAAAAGTACAATCTGCTTCAAATTAAGCACATTTGAACCGTATCAAGATTAGTTATTAAACAATTACATTGTGTCTTATTTCATTGAACAAACCAATATTTTATTATTGCTTCGATTACACTCTTATTATGTCTAAATATTTATCTTTCTATGTAACATCATTGCATTTTTTCTAGATGTACTATAATATTAATTGCATTTTCCCCCTGGATTTTAGTATATAATGGTTCTATATTTGAGAATGGCAATTCTACTATTCTATTATTCCAGAGAATAATTTAACTTCCTTATATTAATTGTATACTGCTTTACTATGTTCTTATGGCCAAAATTCTTAAATGGAAACCTACAATTTTGCTTCTGCTGTTATATAACTTTATACATTGTTTTATTGTAGTCATCTTCTATGCAGTATTGATAGTTAAATGTGACTATTTTCCCCTCCAAAAAAATGTTTTTCTGATCAGATATCCAAATTAAAATGACTGTCTGACCAAACTTTTATCTTTCCCAATTCACTAGTACTTGGAAAGCAGAACTATTTAATGATAATGCTATCAGATACAGGTTGTCCTCAACTTACAACCATTCATTTAATGACTGTTTAAAGTTATAAAGGCACTGAAAAGAGTGACATCACCATTTTTCACACTTATGACCACTGCGGCATCCCCATGGTCACATGATCAAAATTTAGATGTTTGGCAACAGGTTCATATTTATGATGGTTGCAGTGTCCTGGGGTCATGTGATCACGTTTTGTGACCTTCTAACAAGCAAAGTCAATGGGGAAACCAGATTCACACGACAACTGGGTTAAATGTCTATGGAGATTCTCAGTCATCCAGGTCATAGTTGTCCCAAAGATGCTTCTTGGATGAGAAGCGAAATGTCTTCAAAGAAAAACAAGAAAATCCAGTTGCCTGGATCTTTGGGATGACAAGTATGTTACTAACTTAACTGCTACAGTGACTCACTTAATAGCTGTGGGCACAAAAGGTCGTAAAATAGAGCAAAACTCACTTAACAATGTCTCGCTTAGCAACATAAATTTTGGGCTCAATTGTGATCATAAGTCAAGGACTCCCTGTAATGCCTTCTAGAAATAACAATCCCAAAGATCTCTTTGAGAATTGTTTTTATTTGACTGAATAAAAAAATCTTTTGGGTTATAACTGACATCATAGCCATACACAAATTTACATGTGTCAACCTCATCATATTGATTTCAGGCAGTACCACCCTTGAGTGCTAAAATGTTCCTCTTCCTCAGCTCTACACTGCTATTTTTAACCATAAATTTAACAGGAAACATCTTATTGCAGCTATTTATTGCTATCTATATAATACAAATATTTATATTTATTTTCAGTCCCAGCCATTATTTTTCCTGCTAGGAGAGAAGATTTAATGTCTCTATCAGCTAGCTCTATTTCCAGAGCATACTTTCAGCCTATTTCCCTTTCCTATTACAAATCACTTGTAGCTTGACATGTTCAAAAAAAAAAAAAATTAACTGAATTTTAACTGAATTTTCACCCTCAAAGCAGGGGAAAAAATGCTCCAGTTGTGAAACAGCTGTTCTGAACCCTGAACCTTGAACAAGAATTTCACACTCCAAAACAGCCATTTTGATCTTGAGATACTTCTCCAAATACTTAGAGAGTAATCCAATTCACACTTGAAAGACAGTTTTTTGCACTCAAAATGGGGTGTTTCAAATTCAAAACACTTTGCACCTCCTTAACCTGTAAGTAAGTCATCCAACAACTGCAAAACCTACACAGAAGTATATAATCAGTGCGGATAAAAATCAACTCTTCTTGGGAACAAAACAGAATAAGATGGGGTAGAATGACAAGTGCTTGAACTGAAGAGTCTTCACTTCTATCCTTCATGATTCCCCTCTCTCCTGCCAACTGCCCTCCACCCCACAGGCCCCATCAGGCGCCACTTATTATGGCTACAACTCATAATCCCAATTGGTCTTATTCATTCCCTTGTTAAGGATTGTGGAAAATATAGTATAACATCTATAAAGAGAAAGCTGGGCAGTTGAAAAATGCGAAAAAAATAAATAAAAATTTTTGATTAGGCCACAACGCAAGCTGCTAAACTATAACACATAAAATCATTTTTAACTCAGGATTCATATTCCAAAAAAAGCCTTGTGTGAAAATGAATGATAACAGACTTCAAACCTTTATTAACAACAATAAAAAAACCAGAATGAAAGCTAGTAAATATGAGCCACTTTCATACAATATGAAAATGTCTTGCTGCCACATATTTCAAACCACTGACAGAAAAACGCTTATCAGTATTATCTCAGAACACACCATGCTGTATTCTAGGCTCTCATCCATTTTTCATTTAATATTTATTGTTCGTTTCTTTTCATGTATGTATTTTATGCTGTTTCTGAGCACTTCTCTATGGATCAGATATAAGCATTGTTACATAATAATAGTAATAATAAAAGTGATGGTGCCTTGAAGATTTGATGGATGCTTCAGAATCTTCCAACTATTATCATTTGTCAAAATGGAATGGCGATGCTTGCCACTTGTAAGAGAACAGTGGTAAAACATCGATTTATCTTTTTAGCAACACCATGCTTCCAATATAGCAGGAACTGATGTTTATTCATACTTGAACTGGTGCAAGTTTTACAACTAAACTTCTCCCTTGCAAAAAAAAAGAATAATTTCACTAGTTTATATATAATATCTCTGTACCTCAATATATAATTACTCCTAAATTAAATATGGAGTCAATTAATTTAGCCAGTATTAGTTTTATTTACTATATGTTGCAGCAGGATTGTACTATGGGAATAGCGAATCGTTTGTGATAAGTAAAGGAGAACATTAGGAAGAAAAGATTGGTAGGGATAACTATGAAAATGATGTCTAAACAAGGATGACAGAGATATTGCAGTGAGTTGGAAAGTCTGGAGACAATCAAGGAATAAGAGACTGAATGGAAGAAAGGAAGACATAGATGTACATTAGGAGACTTGATTCCAGACTGAAAGAAAAATTCCATCTGAGGTGCACCATAGTGATTAGTGACAGAGATAGAGGAAGGGATGGAGTCATATGTTTAATACCCCTGTGAAAGTCGCAGGAGAAGGGTGGAGAAATACCACTGGATGTGACAAGATAGGATGGTACAAGATTGGAAAACAGCTAGCGTTGCATTCCTCCCAGCTCTACTGTCGCCAGTAGAGTTAATTTAGCCAACGATCGCGGGATCGTTGTTACAACTGGAACTTTACAGTTGTAAGTACCATGCATTTGACACCTTCACAATTTCATACAGTTGCTGAATGAGTGGTTGATAAGTTAAGACTTTCTCTCTCTCTCTCTCTCTCTCTCTCTCTCTCTGTGTGTGTGTGTGTGTGTGTGTGTGTGTGTATTCTTCCATTCAAGTGTGTTCCAATTCTTGAAGATTGCCTGGACAAGTTCTTGCATTTTTCTTGGTAAGATTTTCAGAAGTAGTTTGCCCTGGCCTTCTTCCTAGGCCTGAGAGAAAGTGACTGGTCCAAAGTCACCCAACTAGCTTTGTGCCTAAGGCAGGACTTGAACACCCAATGCCACTACACCAAACTGGTCATGTATGTGTGTGTGTGTGTGTGTGTGTGTGTGTTTGAAAATTGAACCGTTTTGCTAGTTAAATTCTCATCAGTTAGACCGATTTTTAAGCTGATTTCCTTCAAACTTCTATTCTGAAATCTAGTAACCCACAACATAAAATTGTCTTTTTAAATAAAATTAAAACTGCATGCAACCTCACCACCGCCACCACCACGCACATAGTATATGTTATTGCATTATGAAAAATTAATTTTTAAAAAAAACTTAGGAAGAAGCCGGCAAATTAGCTGCAGACCTTTTTTGTAAAAGCAATCATTCTGACAAACGTAATTATATAGTGCTACTTACACATGGGCAAGGTTTTACTGCATCACTTGGAAAGAAACCAAGCTCCTGGGTCATTAAATTTCTACCCTACAGAGAGACAACAGAAAAAATAAATATATACAAATGTCATCTATATTCAGAGCAATTTAAGCTTGCACATTGCCAAATGTTGCTGAATAATTCATTCGTGTTCAATACCTGCTTAGATTAGAATGATTAATGGCTAATATAGAAACTCTGAAGATTGAGGCTTTCATAGTGTAGAGATAAAATTATATAATTTACATTGGTTTGACATCTACTTTGGGTCTATTTTTGAATAGTTTCTGGTTAGGGATAAGTAAATCACTTTATGTCCAATCCATGTCACCTGAGTAGGTGTCCACTTGTAGCTTTCTATTCCTTGATCCTTCTAACAGTAGACATGGTCACCCACTTGAAGTCCCAGTGGAAAAAGCATTGCTGATATGGAGATCCTACAAACAATATCATCAAGCTTAGAAGGTCCTTGAACAAGGAAAGATACTGCAAACCTGTTATGTTCCCAGATGTCTTGGACTTTCAAAGATAACCACCCATTTGTAACAATGATTGCATTGGCTTCTCTTGTATCATTAGTGACTGGATCAATTTCAGAATGTGATGCCAGAGGATGCAGATAGATTACTTGGAGTGATAAATTTTATCATTAGTTCTCTTGATTTTTACTCAGTCTGGTTCACAACTTTCAGCAGGGAGATAATTAAACGTAACTTAGTTTTAAAAAGTAACAATCTTCTCTCGGGAAGACAAAATAGCTCCTCTTTTTAAAAGAGATTATAGGATTCCCCAGAAATGGACAACCGCTGTATAGGCCAATTTCCAACCTTCTGAGATTGCATAAAGAAATTAAATCAGTGATGTTTTTTTCATTACAAGACTTCTTTTCTTCCTTCCTTCCAAGCTGGCTTATAAATAAAACTACAGGGTTGAAATTATCCGGACAATCACTCTTTGGAGATGAAACAACAGAGTACAACTCTGTTAATTCTTCATATCTTCTCAGTGGCTTTTTATACTGGATTGATTGTCTAGAAATCTTGAAATAGGAAACACATTTTTAGAGGAGGCATTCCTGTCTCTCAAGCAAAGTTTAGATGTTGCTTAAGAAAAGTTGCTCCTTGAAGCAAAAGATAGTATCTCTCTCAGGTTTTCCATCGAGGCAATAGTCAGGAGCCTGTCTTATCAGATATGGCAGGGATGTCAAACTCAAATTCATTGAGGGCCGCATCAGCATTGCAGTTGACCTCAGGGGTGGGGGGATGTGGCCAGACTGGGTGCGGCCTACTGGGTGGGTGTGGATGGAGTGGGTGTGGCCTATTGGATGGGCATGGCCAGCTCTACATCGTTCGCGTCAAGGGTGCCTGTGGGGGCCTGGGCAGGAGTGGGACAGATCTGAGGGTCTCTGGCAGAAGGGGGTGGGACCAGGGCATTTCTCCATTCCTCACAAAGGGTGACGCCTCCCCAGCATGTACCCAGGGGGCGGGGCAATGCAGCAGGGCTGGTTCCTCGCTGTTTCTAGACAGCCTTGTGGAGCTAAGACTGAATGCGTTTCAGCATAGATGGCCACCACAAAATTGTACATTGGCTTCCAGCCAGCCTGGGCCAGGGCCAAGGCAGCGGGGGCCATTCCCTCACTGTTTCCAAGATGGCTTCATGGGCCACATGAAACCACTTTGCGGGCTGCATCCGGGCCCCGGGCCTTTTGTTTGACGTGTCTGAGTTATGGTAATATGTCAATTGCATATTTTCCTGAAATAAAATGAGCTCAAAATCATGGTATATGCAAACCATGTCCAGATGGATTACTACACGGTGCTCTTTATATTCTTCTATTCCAGAAGCTTCCATTGATTCAGTACTCTGATAGACTGCAAAAAATAATACACTGGGTTCCATTTTGTCTCTGAGCTATGGTGGATTCTCAGGAGGGAGGGACGACAAAGAGACAGCAAGATTTAGACAGTTTGGTTGGGAGGAAGAGAATCAAGATAGCTCTTCCCTAAAAGTTCTCAGAATATATCTTTAATGATGCAAGTAATTTGCTTTAGTTTGGCAAGATTACTGTCCATATATGAGAAACAATATAGGAAACTGCTTGGAAGAAACTCAGTGTGTCTTTCTTGGTTAATGGAGTCTAACATGGGTAGAATATACAATGTTGCTTATTGAATTAACCAGAAGAGATATCTCTGAATTTAAGATGACTTCATGTTCCCTCCCTCAAACGAAATTAGACAGAAAAATATTACAAACAGACCAAATCCTGGAGAATTTTCCTTCTCAATAAAGGAGTGCATGGAGCACACAAAAATAAGAAGCCAGGCAGCAGAAAAGTACACTGAAAAGTCCTTCAGCTCACTGAACTGCCTGATGATTGCATTATCTGGCCAAAACCCAAGACAGGAAGTCTCAAAGACACCCAAGTCCTAAGCCATGTTATGCTTTATAAATAACAAGGACATTGCACTCAAAAATTGACCAGTAACTAATCTAGCTCATGCAACAGTGACATAAAATGGCAATAACAAGCCTGTCCAGTAAGCACATTAGTAGCTACCTTTTGCAAAAAAAAAATAATGATATTTAAGGACAATTAATTTGAGTAATCCATATAGGAGGTGAAAAGAGCATGAATGACTGAACTGACAGCCCAGCCAAAGCTGGACAAAGGTCATTCCAAGAGCTATGAATCCAGAAGCAGCTTCAGGCCTGCTCTTTCAGGGAAAACACAACCCCACCCAAACCCAAAGTTGGAATATTCCCAGAATTAGTAAGCATCTGAGTTAATTGCCACTCCATCTTGCTTGGGGCAATTCTGAGGCTGTACCTTCCCATTTAAGCTCTAACAGCTTACAGACATCAGGGCAGGATTTTTATCACATGCCCCATATAATTGAGTACTATCATCAAATTAAACACCTCATTTCGTAACAAGATGATTTGCTCAAGTGATAGTTAAAAAAAAAAGGCTTAGGATTTCATACAGGAGTGCCCACTGCCCTATTCTTCTTCCCTAAAATGACAGAGTGGACTCACTTCCTTAGAAAGGAGTGGAACCACCATACACAATGTCCCAACTCTCACAGACAACACACAGGGATTCAGTTGCTCCATGAATGTTTCCCAGAAGATTGCTGTCAATTACCCAGCAAACCAACTCACATTACAGATGAACTATGTGTGTCCCCATATATAAAAATAGCATTATGTGTGTCCATTAAGACCAGTTCAAATCTATCCTTCATTATAATGTCTTTGTTCTACTTGTTGGTTATTGTTTATACCAATACTGGGCATTTCAAGTAAGTAGAATACATTATTTTCAAAATTGATTATATTTTAAAAAAAAGGGAATGTAGAAGTTTGTGCTTTAAATTGAATTTTAAGACAACTATCAAAACTTGGAACACAATTAAAATACTGAGCCTTTGAAGTATAGTCTGCCTTTTATCACAGATGCATGTTGTTTTTTCTTTTCAACTTATACAAAGTTGAATGGTGTGTTTTTAACCCTGGGGTAAATCCCAGAAATGCCAAACTATTTAACATAAATTGTGATTCAATTCTAATTTTGCAGGTTCTCTTTAACATTGCATAATATTCTGCACTGCCTTTTTAATGCAGATAGGGAACCTCAGAAAAGTACAAATATTCTTTATAACAGTATCTTCTATAATCAGAATATAAATAAGAATTGTATGAGTAATGAAAAGTATTTACAGCACTCTAGGTAAATATGGATTCAACTCTTTGCTTCTGCCATTCCTGCCATTCTTTATTAGCAAACTGAGCTAATAAAATGATATTGTACCTGCCAAAATAAACTATGTGCATCTCCTTTGATGAGTTCAATGATGTCTCCAATCTGGATGAATAATGGAGGACCATCCGGTGGAACTGGCTGGGGAATCCCAGTATAGTTTCTAATCACTTGCATTTTTGGTAAACCTTTTGAGAAAGGAAGAAAAATGAGCAACTCACATGTGATAAAAAAATTAAAGCAATGTAACATCTCATATAAACTCCCCCTTTTCTAACACTGATATTGTTTCCTGAATGGAAGGTCCTATCCCGGACATTCTTCCTCAAATAAATTCACCAGTCTGATGGACTTTTTTTTTTGAAACTTATACTCTCCCTTCTCTCACTCAATTGCATTCTTTCACTCAAGAGCGTACAAATGAAAATTGAAAGCAATTACTGAAATAGAAAAAGAGGGTTCGGCTCATAAATATCAAGGGAAAATTAATAAAAGTTCAAGGACAGGTAGTCCTCAACTTGCGACCACAACTGAGTCCAAAATTTCTGTTGCCAAACAAAACAGTTTGCTAAGTGAACTTTGCCCCATTTTATGACCTTTCTTGATACAGGTGTTAAGTGGATCACTGCAGTTGTTAAGTTAGTAACATGGTTGTTAAGTGAATCTGGCTTCCCCACTGACTTTCCTTGTCAGAAGGTCACAAAAGGATGTCACGTGACTCTGGGACACTGCAGCCATGAAAAATATGAAATGGTTACCAAGCATCTGAATTTTGATCACATGACCGTGCAAATGTTGCAATGGTCATTAGTGTGAAAAATGGTTGTAAGTCACTGTTTTTAGTGCACTCATAACTTCAAACTGTCACTAAATGAACTGTGGTAAGTCGAAGACTAGTTGTAACTTGTTCTTCCAATAAAAGACTTAGGTACAGTGAAGTCAAAGATGACTCAAAAGTGTAGGATGTGCTCTCATACACTTCTCTGACTTGCTTAAAGGAAACATTTTTCTTTAGGCTGTTGCCTACTTCCTAAAACAGCAGCATGTATAGTTTTAAATGGAAAAGAATCAATCTTTTGTCAACAGTTCACTCCGTTCAAATCAAATCTTTATGATGATCAAAGACCGGCATAAGCAGGGCAGGGTACAATCAGTTAGAAAGCACAGAAAAGTCAACAAAGTCTAAAAATAATAATAGTGATACAAACTTAAAAGATATAAAACAAAAAGTATATATATATATATATATATATAACAAAAGCCTAAAAAGGAGGGGTAGAAGAATTAGATGCACGTTAGCATAAAGGTTAGTATGTGGCAGACCAAACCTATCATACTGTAGAACACCATGATGAGCTGAATGCTCATTAAAATTTGTTTATGGCACAGATCATCATATGATGCATAGAACCTGGCAACATGGTATGTTGTAGCCACATTACTGTCTGAAAGCAGCAAGGAGCTGGAGAATTGTCTGTGCCCTGAATCTTTATGCAATAATGGTGAGATGGGTCTATATTCCAGGGCAGTATAGGCACTGGAGAAGCACATGCTCTATTTTTTCTATGTGACCAGGGACATTGACTATCCAGGTAGAGAAATCTTCCTGTATTGGCCTTCAACAACAGAGGAGATGCAGGTAGTCATCTTCACCAATGGCTCATGCGTTTTAAGAGCAGGTATGTTTGGGCGTTCTAAAAGATGTATCTCAAAATTATCTAATTTTAGGGTAAAGGGGGAAAAACAATAATGCTTTAGATCCGGATATGAGAAAACATATTTTTTTTACTCACATCTCCAATGGAAAGAAAATATGTTTAGTCATAAACATGTTTCTGATATAATCGTTTGAAAAGAAAATGTCAGTTTTTCCTACATGGTATTGGATTTTCACAGTAGCTTCTTTTGTTTGATCTTTTGATTGGTCTCATTCGAGACAACAATGAATCTGCATTATGGACAGAAGTTGAACAACTGGCCCTGTGGTGTGACCGGAACAATCTTGAACTGAACACACTCAAAACTGTAGAGATGATAGTAGATTTTAGGAGAAACCCTCCTATTCTAACCACTCTTACAATAGTAGACAACACACTATCAACAGTAGAGATCTTCACATTTCTAGGTTCGATGATATCTCAGGACTTAAAATGGACACTTAACATCAAAAACGTCATCAAAAAAGCACAACAAAGAATGTTCTTCCCGGGCCAACTCAGAAAGCTCAAGGAGCTGCCAATACAGTTCTACAATGAAATTATTGAGTCTGTCATTTGCACCTCTATAACTGTCTGGTTTGGCACAGCAATGAAACAAGAGAGACACAGACTTCAACAGTTAGTTAGGACTGCAGAAAAAACAATTGTAACCAGCCTGCCTTCCACTGAGGACCTGTATACTGCACGAGCCAAAAAGAGGGATGTGAAAATATCTACAGACCTCTCACATCCTGGACATAAACTGTTTCAACTTCTTCCCTCAAGATGACGCTATAAGGCATTGCATGCCAAAACAACTAGACATAAGAACAGTTCTCCCATACCATCACTCTGCTAAACAATTAATTCCCACAATACTGTCTTATGCCCTGGGCCTGGGATGTCAAAATACCTAGTAGGGCTGTATTACTATTATCCTTCTCATCTTGCCTATTATCTATTTTCTTAGCTTCTTATGACTATGACCTTGTTCTTTGTATCTTATAATTAATGTTGATTGCTTTTATTTAGTATCCTATTATGATTTATGTTGATTGCTTATTTAGTATCCTATGACTATCATTGAGTGCTGTATCTTATGTTTTATGATTATATTTTATAATTATGATCATGATTTATCACTGTTGCTTGCATGTACACTGAGAGCTTATGCACCAGAGGCAAATTCCTTGTGTGTCCAATCACACTTGGCCAATAAAGAATTCTATTCTATTCTATTCTATTCTATTCTATTCTATTCTATTCTATTCTAATTCTTCTTTTGTTGTACATTATGAACAATTCTAATGGTCAAAGGCATCTATTCTAACGGCTTTTTAGAGAATCATGCCCATTACACTACCTAAAAAATAAATGTGTTTGAGTGAAGGCATCTGAGTTGCTATTTTTTTTATGAAAAATTGTGCTTTTAGATGTTTGTTTGACTTACCAACTGAGCAGAAAATAAATGGCCAAGTAATTATTTTGACCTTTGGGCTAACTGCTTGAATTATTCTGTGTGTTTATCTAAAACCAAAAATCTGGGCTAGTTTCCAGATGCTTATTTATTAACTGGCCCTTTTTTTTTTTACAGATGCAACTGTCTAGCAATGGTATACAGGCATGCTTGAGCTGTGGTACTACTGCTTGGTTCATCAAGTCTCAGCAAGCTATTGCAGGGTGTTCCTCTACTTGAGCAACATATATATGTTCTTCTGTCACTGCACCTGTCTGCTCAGCTACCTTGAAGAAAAAGAAGCAATGCCTCTTTCTGAGACATAATGCATTACCCACAGTTCAACCCAGGTATGCAAGGAGGATAATGTCCCAGATGGTGGACAGAAAAGGACATCCTCCAGGTTCCCAACAAGAAGTACACTACTCAAAGCATGCCTCTTCTTCTAGATCTCATAGGAGGGGTAGACACCATAGGGGAGAGATAATCCCATAAGTTACCCAGCTCCAAGCCATAAAGGTCTTTGAAGGTACTATATGAGGACTAAAGAAATTGCTCCAAATCAATATGATCCTATGATGGAGTTGTCCCTACAAAGTTAATAACAGTAAACTCACAGATTTCATCCATTTGCTATGGTTTCAGTGGCCTTTCAATTACAAGTTTAAAACTTCCTCTAGAATATATCAGTGCTTGCTCTTATACATATGTCTTTTTCCTCCGGTGTCCCTGTGATCATTTTATACATAATTGAAAGTGTATATAAAACTTCCATGCAGGAATACATCAAGAAATCTACCTCTGCAAATCTCCTTTTTTAAAGATCTCTTTTCAACCACAGCACTGGAAATCAAGTTTCTATATTTGTTTAGACACTTTTGGCAAGTTTAGTAATGTAGACCAGCAATGTAGCTAAAGACTGATTAAAAAGGTGTTTAAATACTGAATTATTTATCATTAATTTGCAGAATATGGATTAAAAAAATAATGGAACCATGGGTAGTAAGCAGGAAGAAGTGACATGGATATGAAATAGACTCCCATAAGATAATGAAAACTACAATTCAAAAATCTGGTTCAAACCTCACTCATTATGGGGGAGTAACATTTTTTGCAGGTGCATCTATGACACAGCAATGCTTAAAAGATAATATTTTATCCATCAGCACCAAAGCATTCTAGCTCATTACTATTATATAGATAACATGGAATCTAAAAGCAAATGTTTATTTAATCTTTCCATGTATGTGCACTTCAGCAGTAATGAAAATGGTTGGAGCCATTTTTTATCTTACATCTAAAGAGCTAAAGCTTGAGCTTTAGAAATCAAACTGAATGAATCATATAATTAGTGTCTAAGGAGCTATAACTTTTCATTTAGAAGCTTTACAACTCTTGAACATTTGCTTAAAAGTAAAGATACTGGTAAAGTTAGGCAACATTATAAATACTCTTATTAGTATTGGCCATTCTAAGGACTACACAGTTAAAAAATACAATGCACATGGAACAGGGAGAGAACCCTAATATTTGCTAAGACATGGAGCTGAATAATATATTTGCATTCCATAATTCTGTACCATGTCTAGTTTTTTGATGACATGATAGATTCCTATATTCTGGGTAAGTTTGTATATTAACTGTTGCACTCTGCTCACAGTCACTTGTTTTGAGAGATAGGCAGCTATATAAATTTGGAAAAAAAATGGGGGGAAAAATAGCAATGCACAACTGAATGTGAGAAAGGCTGCAAATCTCTAATTTAATTTTTGTAGTAATGTTTACTTATTTATTCATTTGTAAAAATTATTAGCCACCCATTTTGCCATACGGTAACTCTGGATAGCTTAAAATATTAAAAAAGAAAACTGTGTTATTTATAATAATATAAATGCAATACTATAAAAATAACCTAGCTAAAAAGATGAGGGGGAAGGGAGTATGATGAGAAGGGGAGGGGAGGGATCTGTTGTTAATTTGTCAACCACCCCCAATGTGAAGCCTCTCCATTGGAGTCCCAATTCAACCGGCAGAA